ATAGTAGCTGCTAATAGTACACTTTTTTATATACACGTTAAAGTGCTTTAACTAGTCTAAACTAAGCTAATTAGTAGTTTAGCTACGCTTAAAGATTATAATAACTTAATCTTAAAGTAAATTTTCATTTTTATACTAGTTTAAAAGGCAGTTGCTACTCTAAAAAATAATAAAAAGTAAAATAGCCTACTTTTTAGCATTAATGCCCTAGATAGCTATTGTCTACTTCTAGTTGCCTAGCTAGACTGCTTTTAGCTGTCTTTATCTCTCTAAACTTATAATAACTGCTCTAGTAGATATCTAGCCTATTATAAACCTTATTTTATTAAATTTATACATGTTATTATTTTAAATGCTATACTTAGCTTTAATATTCTTTATAAAGTTAAACTAGCTTTAAATTATTATAAGATTTTTATAAAAAGCTTTTTTATAGTTATACTTACACTTAAACTTTACTTTAAGCTTTAAGTAACACTTAATAAACATATTAGGCTAGTTTATGCTAATATAGCCTATATTACACTTAGCATGTAAAGAATTAGCTATATTAGCTATAGCTGCTAGCTAGGGGGGAAATCCTTGCGCATCTAGCTTAAGTATGTGCTAAATAATTACCTACTTTTTATTATTATCTAGCTTTTATAAATTAGCTGTATAATTAGCTTAGAAAGGTTGTCTAGCGCGTTAGTTGCTTATTATCTTTTAAAAGACTTTATAAATAGCTGCAGCGTGTTGCTTAGAAAGTGTTACGTCTTATTTAAAAGCTTAAAGCATAAGCTATATCTAACATTCTTTTAACATGTCTAAGTAGTGTTATTAGAAATACATTAGTGTAAAAAAAGTAGTGTAGTAGGGTTTTAGCAAAAGTAAGCAACTTAGGTGTGTAAGCAACTTGCCTATAAAGTACGTTATTATAATTTTAGTTTAAGTAAAAAAATTAACGTTAAAAGAATATATATTTTATACTATATTTAGTAAGTAGATATTTTTATAATTGCTATTTCTATTCTTATAGTAAAAAGCAACTTTATTATAATTATACTTTACCTAGTAGTTCTAAAGGAAAACAAAAACAAATAATAAATCTAGAAGATAAAGAAGAGTTAGAAGAGTTAGAAAATAAAAGTACTACTAGCGTCTCTAGTTATAATAGTACTACTAGTAGTTATATATAGTAAAACTATAA